ACAAGAGGGAAGTCTCTGTCCTGGCTGCTGCTACCAACTGGGTGACAGCAAAGATGCCCCAGTGCCACTCCTCTCCCAGGCCATCACAGATCCCTGCAGACCTCCCAGATGTTTTGCTGGGCCCAAGGCACACTGTGATAAGCCATCATCGTGATTTAGCCCGGCCGGCAACTAAGTGCCACACAGCCGTTTGCTCACCCTCACCCACCCCCAGGGGATGGAGAAGAGAATTAAAGGAGAAAAGGGAAGGAGACTCATGGGTTGAGATAAGACAATTTTTAATAATAATAAAAAATATAAATATAAAATAAATATAATTGTATATTTGTATATATGTATATATGTATATGTGTGTATATGTATAGTGATAATAATATATACAAACAAGTGATGCACAGTGTAATTGCTCACCACCTGGTGACTGATGTCTGTCCCGTCCCGGTAAACAATACCGAAACAGATAAATCCCAAAACTGCAATCCCAGATGAATGAGAGGCCTGAAAAGACAGCATGAGAGAGAGCACTCCAAGAGACCTAAAGTGAAGGCTTTCAGAAGAGCAAAGGCCCTTCTTTACAGGTAACTCTCATGTCTATACTGGGCATGATGCTGCATGACATGGAATACTTCATTGGTCGGTTTGGCCCTCAATCCTAAGTCTAAGGTCAAATCACAAGGGGAGTCGTGGACACTCTGTCCCGGCTGTGCTCTCCCCCTATCCTGTTGTGCTCCTGCACACTGGCAAGAGCACAGCAAAATGAAAAGTCCTTGAGGTCTCAGTGCCAACTATAAACATCAGTGAGCTATCAACATTCTTCTCACGAGTCTCAGACTAAAACCAAAACACAGAGCTCTTCTGGCTTCTTTAAAGAAGACGTAACTCTGTCCCAGCCAAAACCAGGACACCCATCATGACGAGGCTGTCACCTTGGAGGGATTCCTCTGCACCCTGGCACTATTGGGACTCCCCTTATCTTCCTTCTGCCTATAGATCTGGGGTTCTCCCCCCAGCTCTGGGGGAGATGTGCTGTAGGGGACAGAGTCAACTGGGTTTTATCATGACCTTGGGGAAGGGGCCGGAGGGTGGTACGGTGCACTGGTCTTTGCCCCCTGACGGCACTGCAAGATCCCTGTGTGGAAGAAAGTTCAGGGCTAGTGGGGTTGGGAAGGTTGCTGGAGGGGTGAGGAAGACCCCTGCAGCAGGCCTGGGGGCTGGGGTCTAGCCGGGATTCTGTGGGCATTTTCCAGCTTTGCCTGCCAGAAGAGTCTCTGGGCTCTGGCAGCACAGGTTGCAGCCCTAACCGAGGAAGGCACTGCATCCTGGAGAGGAAGCAGCAGCATATGGGGAGCCAGCCCCTTGGATCATACAGGGACACGCTCTGGTGCTATGCAGGGAGCAGACCCCTGCCTGGCCATCCCAGGTCTGGATCTGACTGGGTTACCCTCCCTGGGCCTGATCCTGACCCACCACCCGTGTGATGGCATCCCAGCCTGGCCTCAGCCCACCTCCATCACCATGGCCATGTCTGATGATCTGTTACACAACACACCAGGTTTCCTCAAGAGGAGGCGTGGGTTAGGGGTGGCGATAAGCCTCAGATATGTTTCTGTTATTTGTGATGTCTGACACAGTGTCCTGGTTTTGGCTGGGATGGAGTAGCTAGAATAGTGCTGTGCTTTGGATTTAGTATGGGATTTGGTATGAGAAGAATGTTGCTAATATACTGATGTTTGTAGTTGGTGCTAAGACATCAAGCACTTTTCAGCTTCCCATGTTTTACCAACGTGCAGGTGCATAACAAGCTGGGAAGGAGCAGAGCTGGGACAAAGGACCCACAACTCCTAGCTTAGGATTTGAGCTTAGGTTTAGGTTTGAGTCCCAAATTGGATGATGGACTATGTCATATCACGCAACATCATGCTCCATATATAGATGAGGGTTGGCCAGGAAATTTACTTTCTTCGGGTAGGTCTCTCTTCAGATCTCGCTCTCTTCAAATGTCTCTTCAGGGCTCTTGCTCTTCTGGGATTGCAGTATTGGAACTTCTCTGTTTCGAAATCACTAGCCAGGATGAGTTGGGCATTGGTCAGCAGGAGCAATTACACTGTGCATCACTTGTTTGTATATGTTATTATGATTTTAATGTATTATCATACATTCTCAACGTTTTTATTATCTTATTATTTTTTAATCATTATTATTTTAATGTAATTTTACTTCAATTATTAAATTGTTCTTATCTCAACCCACAAGTCTCCATCTCTTTTCCCCTTTAATTCTTTTTCCTTTTCCACAGGAGTGGGGGTGGGTGAGCGAGCGGCTCCATGGTGTTTAGTGTCCAGCCGGGTTAAACCACAACATACAGGAATAGACTTTACTGTAGGGGATCATAGTGGATATGTTAGCAGTGCTTTCCACAAAGTCGGATTCTCAAAAGCCACAGTTACTTCTCCTTTCCTTGTTGTTTTGTGGATGGTTTTGAGCCCTCAGTGTTCTTCCCTATCAGAAGTAAAACTGGTTATAAATTGCAGGTGGCTTGGCTTTTTCTCTCATCATTCCAAAGGTCTGAGTCCTGTTGGTTCATTAACAATTGAACCAGACCTTCAGGAAACAGCCCATCAATCATGTTTGCAATGATCAAATCAACCATCTTGGGGGCTCAGTCCCATTGAGACGAATGTATGTGGCTGACTGGCTTTATTATGTGCAAAAATGTACATATCAGCTCTGTGCTACAGCAGGAAATCTGTATTAGAAAGCACCTAAGATGTGTTGAGATGGCTCTATGAGACAGTCCTGCTGCAAGGGCTCGGGTGGTGTACACAGAGTATGTGCAGCCCACACGTGATGTGTTCTTGGAAGTGCAGCGAGTAGTCTTATGGAGCTGGAGCTCATCATCTCCTCTTAACCATGCCATGCCAAGTTCACATTCATGAGTTGCTGTGTGACTTGACCGTCCCTTGGAAACCTGCCCTCATTTGAACTCTGCTATGTGGTTCTCAGAGAAGCAAGGCATCCTCCATTGAACTAGCAGCTCTGACGTTAGACTGTGTAAGAGCTAGGCATATGACCAAGTGCACTGGCGTTCAATATCTCTCCAGCATTTTTCTAGTGCATGCTATACAGCAAGACAACAAATCTCAAAAATGATAAATTTCTAAGAAGGAGGAGGCCTAATACAGATTGCTTGGCGCCGATGCATTTCAGGATTGGGGAAAAGAAATACATCAACTGCAGTAGGAAGTCTCTTGCACCACATGTGCATTTTTGAAGCTTGGCTCTTTCACTGTTTTTGCTTTTTTCGTATGGTAAAGAGAGACAGCGAGGCTGTCTACATCTAAGACTGGCATTTTATGAGGATATTACCCAGTGAGTGCTGGCTGTGGCCATTCTCCTGGGTGCTTGCACCTTTGCTGACTGCACAGGGACAAAAAAAGCCTGATTCCCAAAGTCTAGGGAACTGCCAAGGAATCAGGAGGACATGACTTAATGCTGCTGCTCCTCTTACTGCAAGCTTGCTCGAAGACTTTACCCCATTAATCTCACAACAGCTGTATGGAAGACTGTTGTTCCTGAATGGATCTTAGGACAGATCTAGCTTCCAGAAACCCCTCAGTGTTGCTGCTCTGGAGTGATGCAGATAGATACACCAAGCACTGTCCTGCGGTGCTGAGGCTGGAGTTCCTTGGGAAGGATCTGCCATGGAGCTCTAGGCCAACTGGTCCCAGCTGGATGGTGAAGAGCACTCTGGGTGACAGCACCCATTGCCAGAACACTGATTGTGTTGGACCATAGAGCAAACACGCTCCTCTGTCCAGGGCAACAGAGAGAGAGAGGCT